GCTCCAAAGCTCGTGCTTCAGGCAAAAACATAAAATCAAAGGAGACAGATAGATACCAGATCAGCAACATGTCCCGAGCATCCCCGTGCGCCCGTGCTGGAGACAGCTGCCCTCGAGTACCTTGTGCTGCTCCCGTCGTAGCTGCGAGGTGTGAGATGTGGCCATAATCCTCCGGTCTGTTCTGCTGGAGAGGAGAGCGAGGGCAAAACCATCTTGAGCCGAGAAAGCAAATGTCCAGCCATCCTTAGATTGGTTTTAGGTCTGTGCCATGAAGGTATTTTTGTGCCCCCCATGTCACTGGTGGGTTGATGGAGGCTGGGGCTGGCAGAGCGGATGGTGCTGGTGATGCTTCCCACAAGGTGAGCATCCTCGCTGCTGCCTGCCAGCACCTTGCACCACTGCTCAGGGGCTTATTTTTATTAAAAAGTGGAGTGCTTGGTGAAAGGCAGATGCAGGATGCTGGGGCAATGTGAGCAGCGGCCTGTGCCACCAGGAGCGAGCGGTGGGGACACCAGCTCACATTTAACATCAGGCTAAATACCATCGATGGGAACCTGGTTTTCATCGTTAACAGAAGCCATCGCTTGTGTTGGGAAGTGTGGAGGTCTGGGAGGGGGGCAAGCTGGGGCTCGGCTGCTGCCCTGCCGCCCCACAGGGCATCGCCTCACCATGACCCTGGGAGCCTTGAAGGACGGGATGCCTCGGGGTGCAGCACCTTAGCCCACCTTCGAGATGCTGTTGGAGGCGGCTTGGGCTTGTCCAGTGATGGGGATGGGGAGGAAGGACCCCATTGTAGCATCCTGAGAGCTCCCCAGCTTCCCAGACCTTCCCTTCTTGGGTACTCCCTGCTATTACCGGGGGTACCTGGGGGCAGCGATGTGCTGTGATTTCAGCTCACCAGCTCTGTGCTGGCTCTTCTGGTTTTTAAATTCAGGCCCCGAAACCCTCTCGGCCTCCGTGGTGCCTCTCGGGTGAGTGTACCACAGGGCGGGGGGCAGGAAATGGCTCACCGCACCCTGCTCTCAGCAAACCATCACGCCTAGCAAAGCCCTCAACCCTGCCTTCAAGAAAGCAAATAAATAAAAGCACCGGTCGGCAGCTCCTCCCAGGGCTGTGGGATGAGCGGAGGCGAGTTGTGTTCCTGGCTCAGCCGGCCTGGGAAAGCAAAATTTGGGTGACACCAGAATGCTGGCGGGGCAGCTCGGGATGCTCGGGCTCCTCCCGGGGCCGGGGAGCTGCTCGGTGCAGCCGTGTGGATGGGTCCCCTCCCTGCCGCTCTTAAACACGATTAATACAGCGGAATAACCTGGTTTCTTCCTAAGGATTAGAAAACAAGATGGTTTTAATAGCCCTTTTACATCCTACATAGATCTTAGCTGAAAAGCCTAGCTGGTTTGGCAGCTCATCTTATCTTTTTCTTTCTTCCCCCTGTTTTTTCTCCATAACCTGATGCCAGTGGACCTGTCTGAGCGGGCTCCTACCGATAATTCAAGTGTCCAGCTCCTGGCTGTGCTGTTTTGTCCGATTTCCATTGCCTCCTGACCTCCATCCTTCTTTATTTGCAAAGCTATACTCGCAGGCAGCGGTAATAAATCAATTAATGACTCTGATGAATCGTTTAATGGCTGACAAAATAACACTACAGTCAACAGCTTGGATCTCTACAGCAGTACCAGAAGATGCTGGTTGACTCAGGGTAGGGAGACGAAACAGAGACTGTTAGCTCAATTAGTGCAATTAGTGTGCGATTTAAAGGCTTAGACGGCATCTGCTGGCGTACCGAGCCGGTGTGTTAACTGAGAGCTTCGGTTTGGAAGCGAAACGCGGCAATCCAGATTGTCATTGCTCTGCTGGCATCCACCAAAAAGGGGAAAAAATCCAATGTATGTGGGGAGAAAAAAAAAAGTATGTGTGTATATAGCTATATGTGCTTGCCCCGGGATCCGCAGTTTATTTCCAGCGCGGTGCGAATTTACCATCTAATAAACGGCAAACGAGACGGCACGCTGGCTGTGCCGGGGCTGTCCATGCTCATCTCCAGCAGTGGTCTCCGGCATGCTTTGTGGAAGGAAATTTGGGGCCAATGGGGACCTTCATGAGGCTGGACCAGCTTAGCACCGGCCGTGCCGGCACAGGGAGCTTCGTGCTCCCACACCATGCCGGCGCTGCCCGTCTGCCGGCTTCGTGGCATCTCCACCTTGCCTGTACTTGCGCCGGGGAGGTCGAGGGTTTTTAGATATTTATCCAGAGAAATTGGCAGGGAAACTCCAGCCAAAATCTCCAGAGTCCTTTAAAGAAGTTTCTGAGCCAAAATGGTGAAAATGAGCCAGGTGGAGGGGAGCTGGTAGGGCATAATTCCTGGTTTTCTGGAAATGTTGTTGGAAAGCCCTTGGGGCTTGGGTGCTGACCCTCGGGGTTTGATTCCTCTCCCTTAGGGTTTGGGATATTTGTTCCCACTCTTTTTTTTCCCCATTTTTCTTTCTTTCCTGGCGCATCCCAAGGGTTTTGCAGAGCTGCTCCAGCCGTGGCTGCGCTCCCATCGCTTCAACAGGGCTAAAGGTGGCTCGGTGTTTACCTTTGTGGTGGTGATGGGGAGGAGAATTAAAAAAAAAAAAAAAAAAAGAAATAAAATGTCACTTCGCAGCCTTGTAAATCATTCATCAAGGGCTGACCAATTTGGCTCCCATCCTACAATATGCTCAGGGCACTTGCGGGTTTTTAATTACCGAGTTCTGCCAAGCGCCACATGTGCGAGGAACTTTAAATCCCCGTTTATGCCGCGAAGGCATAGGTGAGGTTTCGGGGTGTTTAATGCAGAAAAATACTCTGCGGTTTTGTGGAAAAATGGGCATTTGCTTCCAGGTTTTTGTTGGCTGCTTTGCCCTTCTCCTTCCGCTCCCTGTTACAGAGGGAAGGAGGAGGGCGGCATACTTTTCCTCCCTGGATCCCCAGATAGATGTCTGTCCTCGCTCTCCGCTGCTTTGGGATCCATTTTGCTTTGGGAGATTCCCCCAGCGAAGGATTATGGTGTGCTGGAAATCTCTTGAAACCATAAAATATCACCTTGGCAGCTTTATTGCAGCGCTTGCCGCCTTGGGAGAGAAGCGTTTTGCGTGATAGAGGGTTTAATAAAGGAAATTCCAAATGGGCTCGCTGCAGTTTGGGGCTCGGTCTTATATATTTTTGCATTAAGAACCGTCATCTGCTTTGCAGAGAAACTGCAATATGTTCATGGCCTTGGATTAAGATTTGGTTTTACTTTTATAGCTGACCCACTTGGGGGGATGGAGGGAGGGGGAGAACTGGGTTCACTCCCTCTCCCGTCTATTTTTGCTGCCGTCTGATGTATAAAAAGAGCCTGGAATGGGCAGGCTTATTTTCCCTGCCAGGACTTTTTTATTAACTGTAAAAACACTCAGATCTGGCCTTCGCTGTTGGTGTGGGGAAGGCTGCTCGGGATGCCTCTTGAAGGGCACGGAGCGAGCGTGGCCATGGGCTGTTTTGCAAAGAGGGGTCTCTTTTTGGGCAATCAGCCTGTTCTGTTGTCTCCAGTACTTGCAGCTCTGAGATGCTGGGGTAGGTGGTCCTGGCCTTCATCCCGTATCCCGCGTGCTGGCTCCTGCCAGAGAGCGTGACGGAGCGGGACACGAGGGCTGACCCCCGGTGAGGCACAAGGTTGACCTGATGCTCTCCTGCCTCTGCAGGGCTTTCTGGTCCAGAATAGCGAGACTCCCAACCAGAGACTGGGGTCCCACCTTGGCGAACCTCAGTCCTGAATAACAATCCTTAATTTTCTGGGCTGCCCGAGTCCTGGCACACCAGCTGTGCTTGCACCTCGCGGTTGTCACTGCACCGGCTGCTGTCGGGACATGGGGTCTGGTGGGTTGGGGTGCTTCAAGCCATGAGGTAGAACCAAACCTGAGCAGGCTCACGTGTACCCCATCTGCTCCTGGGATTTCCTCGGCGGACAATTTTTCCACCAATTTTTTTCGTGGTGGATGGTTTTCTTCCGCCCTACCATATGGTTTTAAGTCGGAAAGTCCATCACAAAAATTTGTGGAGGGACATGTTCAGTGATCCAAACCCAACTGTTATCCGTGAGGCTCCCTTGTAACTGCCCTGGGAATGGGTGTTCATTGGGCGGTGGGTAAACAAGAGCACACTTCAAGGGCACGGATATTGCTCTGAACCCTCCAGGGATGTGTGTCTGCCGGGGTCTTTGGGGAAAGGTCTTTTCTCACCATTTTCCTGCTGGGTGGGAGCCTCCCCTCACGCTGGAGCTTCCCCAGGGCAGTTTGGTGCATGCTGCCCTTCCCTCAGCAATGCCAGATCGGCTCCTGACACCAGAAAAACCTCCTTTGTCCCTCACTGTACATCAAGAGAGGACGTAAATACGAATAGAGATGCCAAGCAGGGGCAAGCGGGGTGTCTGGGTACCCCATGTCCACCCCGGTCCCTCTTTTTTGGGGCTGGAGCCACTCGGGTGGCTCGTCCTGGGGAGAGGCAAAGAGGGAGTGTGACCCCACACATCAGGTGCAGAGAATTTGGAAATTTATAATGAAACCTTGTCATGGCTGGTGAGGTCAGGGAGGCTTCTTTTCCAGAGGACAGAGCTGAACTCGGGAGTGTGGGGGGTGGAGATGGGGTAGGAGAAGCATTTTAAAAGCCTTACAACAGCTTCTGCCTGAAGTGGGGCATTGGATGAGGCTCTTGATGGATTAACGAGACTAAATGCCTGGGTAAATGAATAAATAAGCCCAGAATTATCCCCATTTTTTGTGCAGCCATCTTCTCCATGCAGAGGGCAGTGCCCCTCTGGCTCCAAGCATCGTCTGCTCCGGGGGGAAGATGCTTGGGGCACAGGGAGCGGTGTTGGAGCTCTGGAGGTAACAGGGTTATAGACTCAACGTGGTGTGGCAGGAGCGAGGGCTTTTTTAATGTGTTTTTTCCTTAACTCCAACCCAAACCCACCATGTTTGTCCTGGTTTTGTTCCCCACAGAGCGCAGCAGCTGCCCCGAGTCCTGTGCTTGGAAACATTCCCCCGAACGACGGGATGCCCGGGGGCCCCATCCCACCCGGCTTCTTCCAGGTAGGCTGCCGCTCCTCCCGCTGCTCACCTCCACACCACGCACGTGTTCGCTTTTGCTCTGGGTGTCAGCGCTGTTGTGCCTGTGTTTTTTTTTTTCCAAGGGGATGCTAGGGAAGCAGCGTGCCTGTGTAGCTCACCTGTGTAGGAATAACTCCTGTTCTGCTGTCCTTTGCTTTCTGTTTTTTGTGGCCTTAAAGCGAATTTCTTTCTTCCTCGAAGAGGTTACTGCGTATTTACAACCCATGGTTTTTTTCCAAAGCTGCTTGGTTTGTGTTTGGGTTGAGATCGTATTTGTTCTCCGGCCCTAACAGACGTGCATAATTGAAAACATTCTGGATTTTGATTCCTGAAGCTTCCCCCCCACTCCCCCCTCTGGTTAACCGCCTGATTTTTTCCAAATGCAATCACCGAGAGCATTAACAAACGCTGGCTGTGGCTGCAGGCAGGAGCTGGCTCCAGCCAAGTCCCCGAATGCCGTGGAGGCACCTTGTAAGCAAATACCTAGCGAAGTCCCCAAAGTCCCCTCGCTCCTTCCTTCTCCCACTCCTAGCTCTGACTGAGGAAGGGGGTAACATATGTTTGGAATGACGCTGATGGAAAAGATCTCGACAAACTCACAGAAAAGGGAGTTTTCAAAGCTTGAACCGTGGAGGGGTTTTTTGGGTGTCTCTGGAATCTCTTTGCACATCGTGACCCGCGCTGGTTTGCAACGGCGTAAGCTCTCGGTGCGTTAAAATATTCCTTCGTGAGGAAGAAACACTTGTTCATGTAACAAATGGGATAAGAGTTGAAAGGAATATTTGTTTTGGCAAGCTGGTTTTGTTGGTTGTTTTTTTTTTTTTTTAATCTGAGCTTGTGATTTGTATATGGGAGAACTTCTTAGGCAGTGGACAGGCGAACTTGATAAGGCACTTGTGATTTATTGTGGCGATATCTGAGCCCGATACCGCCGTTCGCATGTGTATGGGAAGGGGGAAGGAGGGTCCTGTGTTGGTGTTTTTTTTTTTTTTTAGAGAGATCCCATTTCCTGAACATGCTTCTGACCGAGTAAGAATATCCGATACTGATCAGGAACCCTAAAAGAGGGGAATCTTGTAGCAGCGCTCAGCGGCACGGGGTGAAGCCAGCAGCAGAGATGCTATCTCGCAGGTCATAGCTGCTGCCAGCAATTCGAGTGCCAAGCTGCCGCTTCCAACAAATGTGTCTCCAAAAGTCCCGATCTCGCCCCGCAGCGAAGCTGACTGTCCTTTGGGGCTTCTGCTTCACGCAGAGCTGCGAGGGCTGCAAAACTGGCACGATGTTAGGGCAAGGCTTCAAGAGTATGGGTTGGCTTTCCCGAGAGGGGAGGTGAGGAAGAGGAGTCGCATCTCCCCAGACGTGCTGTGCATGCTCCCGACTCGACTCTTCCCGTTGACAGCCTCCAAGCTGTCCCTCCCTGCTTCCCTTTCTGCCCTCCCGTAGTGTTTTTGCACTGGGGGTCTGATTCAGGAGCAAACAATCCCTCCTCGCTCCCTACCTCTCATGCAGCTGGACCAGGAGCCGCTGGGGAAGGGGGGCTGAAAAGCAGCCCTGCTTTCTTAGGACCTTTTTGGGGAGGGGGTCCTGAAAACCCAGCAGAAGTCATGGCACCGGTGCAGGTGTCATGGGGGGAGGGATGCTGCCCATCCCCGTTGCTGCTGAAGGGAAGAGAGGACGGGTGCCGATGCATATGGCTCGCATGTGACATCTCAAGAGCATGCCTTTCTTGAAAGCCCTCCAACATCTGGTTTCTCCTCCCAGCCCTGGGGATGGAGGGGAGGAGGGGAGTAGAAAAATCCCACCTTTTAACACAGTCTGAACATTGCCTCCATGAAAGCCCGTCTGATTTATTGCGGGTGCTGGGGCTCGTTCCAGCTTCAGGAGGTGCTGGAGACCGGCTCTTGCAGAGGTGGGCTGGGGGCTCGGCAGCGAGCTGGTCGCAGCTCAGGCGCGATTTCCTATCTCTGTCGTAAATTAAAGCACTGAACTTGAGAGGGTAAAACCAAAAATGCACAGGAGATGCAGAGGACTTCTCCCCGACCCTTATTGTGCCAGGCCTGGGAGTGAGTGTGCTTCCTGATGGTACCATCTCGGTGCCCTCCTCATGGAAGGAGAGGAGGGATGGAGAGCGTTGTGGGGTTCAGCGTATTGCTCTTCTGCACCGTGCTGCAGGCACCAGGGACCTGCAAGGGGTATCCCTGCAGGTAGCAGGCATGGGCAGATGGTTGTTGAGGGTGTTCGGGGGGCCTGACCCTGCCCTGCCATGGTGGAGCATCACACTGGGAGCTGAGGAGGGAGTCGCCAGCGAAGCTGAGGTTGCAGAAACCCCACACTGACAGCCTGGGGGTACATGACCCTCCCCTCATCCCTGCACATTCGTATGTGCACCACTGTTTGGCAAAGGGAAAAAAGTCAGATAGACCATTCCTGGGAGCTAGCGGACAAAAACCCGTGGGAGCAAGCTTGGAGGAGAAGTGACATGCCAGGAAGGGGAGAATAGAGGAGGAGTCCAGGCTGCAGCGCCTGTCCGCAGCCTCCCTCTTGCAGGGAGAGTCCCTTCCCCATGCTGGGGCTCAGCAGCAACCTTCGGGCTGGGGGCCAAGGGAAATGCAGCCTGCAGAGACTCCCAAAACCTTCCCAAAACGACGGGAAGGAGAGGCCCTGGGCACCCGTGGGTTGCCGGGGCGTTGCGCGGTGCCAGCCAGCGGCGCGGCATCGGGCTGCGCTCTGGACAAAAGGTGGCTGGGTTGATGGCCGGCATGGGTAGATGCTTTTATTTAAATCTCTCTCTCTTTGTCCCATTGAGATGAGCAAACAAACCCCCTGCTCATCCTCCTAAAGGTCATCAGAGGCGTTCCTGCTTTTGTTTTCATAGCTGGATTGATGCCGGGGTGCAGATCCCTCAAAGGAGGGACTTGGGGGTGCCAGGGAAATCTAGGGAGGAAAATGAAAAATTAAAAGCAATTAATACCACACCTTCTTAACACTAAATAAATAGGGGGAGGGGGCGTGGGGTGTGCTGGCAGCAGCCCCCCACCGCAGCCATGCCTCCTCTCCCCAGAGCGAACTCCCCGCGCCGCCCCGTACCCCGCGCGCTGATGAAATGGAAAGTTGACCATAAATCAATGTCGGTGGCTGCGTTAGCTATGCATCAGCGGCTCGGCGCCGAGATGCACCAAAACAAAGCGCCGGCAGCTTGGTGTTCCCACACTGCCCCCTAATGCAGAGAGACCTCGGGAAGCGGGGAGGACGGGGGGAGCTCCGGAGCCTGGGGGGCTCCCCTCAACATCGCCTGCTCTCCCTGCATCCCGGGGCGCAGCGCTTTGGGTAAGGTTGCCCACGGCGGGGGGGGGGATGGTGAAGCCAGGGGTAATGGGATGGGGTCCATGTTGTCGTGCTCCCTCCTTGGATACCACCATTTTCCCCCTGCTCAGCTGGCCTGACGTCTCGGTGGGGTTTGCCACCGCTCCGCGGGTGCCACCAGCTATGGTCAGCCAGCTCTGGCGAGGTGGCACAAGAGCTGCAAAACCAGGCTACCCTTTCCCAGGATCCCAGGGCAGAGCTCAGTGTCTGCCTTGCACCCAGCAGGGCTTCGAGGAGGGTGGCTTATGATCTGGAGGAAAGGAAAAGCAAGCCTTGGAGAAAGTTTGGGTTTTTTTTCTGGAAGTTTAGTAGGATGCCCGAGGCTTTTGTACCGAGCGTCTGGAGCATATGGTGGGATTTGCAGTCAACTTTCTCTCGGGTGCTCCAGCCAGATGGAGGTGACTGTTCTTGGCTCTGGCTGACATGGGTTTGTTTCCTGAAGAGCTTGTGTTTAACATATTCCTTAAAACCAGGCTTCTGCAGTTGGGAGCCCCAGCTGCAGGCGAAGCAGAGCTCCTGCCCACGGCTGCCTTCCGCCGTCTGCGAGGGAACTTGGCCTGCCTTGCCTTGCCTTGCTTTGCTTGCCTTGCCTCGCTTTGCTTGCCTTGCCTTGCTTTGCTTGCCTTGCCTCGCTTTGCTTGCCTTGCCTTGCCCTGCCTTGCCTTTCCCTGCCTCCTTGCCTTGCCTTACCTTGCCTTGCACTGCACTGCCTTGCCCTGCGTTTCCTTCCCTTTTCTTGCCCTGCCTTGCCTTTCCTTGCCTTTCCTTGCCCTGCCTTGCCCTGCCTTGCCTTGCCCTGCCCTGCCTTCCCCTCCCTTCCCTTGCCTTGCCTTGCCTGGCCTTGCCTTGCCTTGCCTTGCCTTCCCTTCCCTTCCCTTCCCTTCCCTTCCCTTG